CTCCAGGGTTGTCATCAATGCAGTCTAGGACGTCCTCCGCGAACTCAGTGCTGCAGCTGCACGACTTCCAGCTTACAACAGTAGGGACGACACAGGCACGATGCATCCTTTGCATGCAGCATCCACCAGCTAACACAACTGACCATGCACTCTGCTAAAGCATGTTTCTCGGAGACATTGAGCTGATGCCTGACGCAGCCCCTTGCGCCGGCTTGCTTGTTTGCAGTATGACGATGGTTCCGACATGGCCACGCGATGCATTGGTCCGCGCGAACACATCAAGAAACGCAGCACAAGAAAAGAATATTCCCAATAACAAGCTCAAGTATCAATAGGGGTGATAGGCTGACCTGCACGCGGTGGTTCGTCATAGTGCTGGGGTTAGCGCTCCCTAGGTACCCCTCGGCGCTCGCGTCGCCTAGGTGATGTTGCTGGCCGTCAACACAGCTGTACACCGCCAGCACATCCTGGTTAACCGTCAACACCTGGCTCAGTCGCTCGACTGCATATCCGATATCCCCATATTCTTCCCCCACCCACATGCGAGCATTCGCTTTCTCGCTCAATCTGCCCGCCCCCTCCATTTCCCCTCGCTGAAGCAGTAAACACACGCGCCATGGGTGGTGCAGCGACGGAGCCGCCTTCGGTCTCCCTATCGTGTATGAGAATTGACTACTCCCTTTACCTCATCCATACTGACATTTGCAGTTGCCAACAATTTCTGGGGCAAAGATGACGCCGGCGTCGGTCCCATGCTCGACCGCATGCATGCGGCCAAGGTCACCAATGACGAACTCAAGAACTTCTACGCAGCCCGCTCCGCAATTGAAGAGGAATACTCGCGGAAACTCCTAAATCTCTCACGCAAGCCCCTGGGATCATGCGAAACCGGCACCCTACGACTGTCGTGCGATGTCATCCGAGCCGAGGTCGAATCCATGGGCAAGGCGCACCAGAGCATAGCACAGCAGATGAAGACAGAGCTAGAAGAGCCACTGGCCGCTTTCGCTGGTGGAATGAAGGAGCGCAGGAAGATTGTGCAGAACGGCATCGAGAAGTTGCTCAAGCTGAAGATGCAGCAGACGGCGACTGTCAACAAGGCACGCGACCGATACGAGCAGGACTGTCTCAAGATCAAGGGTTTCCTAGCGCAGGCGCACATGGTCATGGGACACGAGGAGCGCAAGAACAAGGCAAAGCTCGAGAAGACACAAATCAATCTGGCGACGACCAGCAGCGAATACGAGGCCGCGGTCAAGGTGCTTGAGGAGACCACTGGCAGATGGAACAGGGACTGGAAAGCCGCCTGCGACAAATTCCAGGATCTCGAAGAGGAGCGCATCGACTACACAAAGAGCAGTCTCTGGAACTTTGCCAACATTGCCTCCACAGTATGCGTCAGCGACGATGCCGGATGCGAGAAGATGCGCCTGTCCCTCGAGGACTGCGACGTAGAGAAGGACATCAGCGGCTTCATCAAGGAGTCCGGCACTGGCCAGGAGATCCCCGACCCTCCCAAGTTCATCAACTTTTGCAGAGGAGATGCCGAGACCTCATCACAAGTTGACGAGGACGAGAACTACTCAGTCGCCCAGTTTGCTAGGACCTTGAACCCATCCTACCGCGCTTCATCACCAGCGCCATCTACTTTCTCCTCGCACCACGATCCAAACAACCCACTAGTACGAGAGCTAGGTCTCCCACAGGAAACACGCCCGATCGCTCCTGACGATATACTACCGCGACAGTCCTTGGACCGTCCACCACAACGTCAGTCTATAGATATGCCTCGTCAATCTGTGGAATCGTTCAGACAGCCAGTGGAACCACCGCCTCCGCTCATGGATGAACCCCGCAGACGTGGAGAGTCTCCCCACCAACAGGCAGAATCTCCCCGACAGTATGCACAATCGACCCGGTCGCGTGCCCAATCCCGATCAAATGGGGACTACCAGCATCAGCAGGTCGAACCGCTGAGGCAACGTGCAGAACAGCCACAACAGCACGTGCAGCCTTTGAGGCAGCATACAGACCCACCAAGACAGCAGCAGCAGCACATCGAGCCTCTGAGACAACAACACCACATTGAACCCCTACGACAACATGTGGAGCCACCAAGGCAACCAGAGCCACAACAAGCCCCTCCATCCCCGCAAGTAGCACGCGCAGTACAGCCAGATCCTCGATTGGTTCAGGCACAGCAGCAAGCTCGGCAACAATACCAGCAGAGTCAAGTCCCGCACAACGACTATCCTTCGGATGGTATGACACAATTCTGCCGCATCGATGCGCCGTCTGATCGCAGCTCGATCCCAAGTCCCGCTCGACCTGCCAGTAGAGATTCACAGAGCGATTACTCCAACCCCACGTCTTTCTCAAGCATTGAGCCTCCGAGTGGTTCAGCCTCTCCTGGCAAGCCAATGCCGCAGTCGCAGTTACCTGAACCCAGCCCGATTGAAGAGGGCTCTGTGGCAAAGAAGAGGGGCTTCTTCAACAGCCCCTTCGCACGGAGAAAGAGCAAGCACGAAGTCGAGACCCCAGCAGCTCTTACTCCTGCCAATCGCAATCGGAACACATGGGCACCTCCCGCTCGCAGAAACACGGAGGAGAATACCAGCCCAACGAAGAGCTTTGCTACTAGAGCCGCTCCTCGCAATGCTATTCAGAGTCGCGCTCCTTCGCCCAGCCCTGAACCAGCTGATCCTCGCGCCAACTTCCAGCTCAATGTTGGTAACAATGTTTTCGACGTGGCCTCGCCGGACAAGAAGAAGCAACAAGAGCAGGAAGAGTCGCAAGAAGATCTTGATCCGATTGCGCAGGCTCTTGAGGAGTTGAGAGGTGTCACAAAGCAAACGTCTGTCCGTCAGCAGCCAGATGATCGCAAGCAGGCGTCTTCTCGCCAGACTGCTGATCGTTACCATGGTCTCGCAACGCCTGCTCCAGGTACGCCCGCGGTCGGATCGAAGCTGGCAGGTGGTGCACCTACTCCCCTTTCTAACGTCGACCTGAGCGCTGCAAAGCGAGGCACGCCTCCACCGACATACGAGCAGCCAAAACGCGAGCAGCCGCCTCCGCAGCCCCGTGAGCAGCCGCGCGAGCAACCACCCATGTCTCACCTGGGCGCTCCTAAGCCTGCGCATACTTCGCGCGCTATGCAGAAGACGACTCAGATGTATGTCAATCAGAAAGTGAGCATGTTCAACGGAAGTCAGGCGTCTCGATCCTCCAGCCGCAGCCCTACAAAGCAAGAGCCCCCACGGGTCGCGTCTCCGGCACAACCACCTCGAGCTATCAGTCCTCGACCAACCCCCCTCAATACGTCTCAGAACTCATACCGCTCATCTGGAGGGCAATCACAGCCATCATCGCCTTCGACATACCAACCTGCGCAACGACAGCAACCACCAGCATCGCAGCCTGCACCAAGAGCGCAACCCCAGGCACAGCCTGCTCCGCGTCAACAACCTGTAGCTCAACCTGCACAACGGCCGCAGCCTGCGCAACAACCAACTCCACGGCCGGCATCGAGGCTACAACAGCAGCAGCAACAACAGCAGCAGCAGCAAAGGCCTCAACAACAAGCCCCTCCCGCAAATTCATTCAGCCGGACAGCATCGCCAAATCCGTATGCGGCATCAAATGCTGGGGGTAGGCCCAGAGCACAGACAGCTACCGCCGCTGCACAAGCATACGGTACACCTGTAGGACGTAATTCGTACTCCTCGAACCGTGGCCCATCCCCCAGCGTCAACCCCACCCCACGAACTGCCTCGCCCCTTCCCCCACAACAGCCCCCTCAACCAGCCTACGCGCAATCGCAATCGCGCCCAGCCTCACGAGCTGCCCCCGTCTCACGAGCCGCAAGCCCCAACCCACAATTCCGCCAATCCCAAGAACGACCGCCCAGTTCCCACAGCGGCATGGCACTCGCACTCTCCACTGCAGGCAGCGAGCGCGGCGACGGCAGTGTTTACGGCGGAAGCCAGTACGGAGGCAGCGTACGTGGTAGGCCCGGTACTGCTTCTTCCGCCCGGCCTACGACAGCCAGTTCAGCTCGTCCAGGCACCGCTAGTACCGCCCGCCCGCAAAGCTCCTACATGGGCGGCGGCAGCGCAGGAAGCGAGTTCGGCTTCAGCGGCGGGTCTGGCGCTGGATCCGTCAGAGCGGAATCCAGGGCCAGGAGTAAGAGTTTGGCTGAGCCGAAGAATTATAATAGCCAGGGCAGGGTTATTTTGAACTACTGTAAGTTTTCCCTTTGATGTTGATGATGAAGGACGTCGGCTAACGATCACGACAGCGCGTGCAATGTACTCGTATGCAGCGCAGATTCCAGAGGAACTGGGTTTCCAGAAGGGCGATATCTTGGCTGTGCTTAGATTGCAGGATGATGGGTGGTGGGAGGCTGAACCTGTGGGTAACACGGGTCGACCTGGTCTTGTGCCGTCGAACTATCTGCAGCCGTGCTAAACTATGCGATTATCTGGATTGACGAGGTTTGAGAAGGATGGATGGAAGCATTTTGATGGTTTCGACCCATGCGTTTTGATCTAGCGATTTTGTTTGCGCATACCCTCGTTGTCTCGTTTGGCGTTCGGATTGTATGTATTGAACGATCGAACGAAGGGGATGTGCGATGAATTGGAGGGAAATGAGATGCAATGGTATCAGGCTTAGATAGCCAACGTAAATAGCATCCAACCGTACAACGAACAGAATGAGAAACTTGTACATGCCACTCTCGAACTGTTATACTCTCATGTGCTCCACGAGAAATTTCGAGCTAAGGCGAATTCGTGATCAGTACGTGATCGTAACAGATGTAGTTGGTTGGAACAGTGTCAAGATGAATGCTTGCTGTGTAAAAATGAAGTTTGGGTATCTACTTGACTGAACGCCTGTCATGCTCGCTTGCTGGTTCCCCGCAATATGCCATCCATCCATACGCCGTATCTCATGCCTCCACTTCTTGCATATCCCCTCCCCTCCCCTCCCCTCCCCCCTTATTCATAAGTATTCTCATACGGATCCGCATCATCAATATCCTCATCCTCGCCATTGTCAAAATACTGCTCCGCATTATAATCATCGTCGCTCTCCTCTGAATCCGTACTGGCGGCGCTCCAATTATCCTCCTCATCAACGGCATCAGGTTTCTCCTCGTCGATCTCGTCGTCTTCGGCTTCGGCGTCGTCGTCGTCTTCTTCGGCGCGCGCTTCCGCTTCGTTGGTGCGCTCTTGTTCGGATTTTATCAGGCGCTCGATTTGGGAGACGCTGCTTACTTTTGTTACGGCGAGGGTGCGGCGGGCGGGCTTTTTTGTATTGGAGGAGGTGGTGCTGGTTGTGCCGGTGAGGGTTGTGCGGAGTTCGGTGGGGAAGAGGTCGACGACTGCGTGGGGTGTTAGTTCCATATTGACGGTCGTGTGATGGTTTCGTGGAAACTTGCCGTATGGTCGCGCGTCTAGCTTTGGGAGGCGCCGGCGCACTTTTAGGTATTTCGCGGAGTAGGTCTGGTTGCCGGTGAAGGGGTCGAAGAGCGAGGCTTCGGTGGGGGCGGGCTCGTTGGCCTTGCGCTTTAGCCCGTTCTTCATGCCGTCGTTGAGGATCGTGTAGAAGGGGCCTTCGTGGATGCGGTCGCGGACTGCGAGGTGGTGCTTTACCATGGCTAGCTCATCGTCGGTTGGTGGAGGCGCTTGGGGAGGTGGTGCTTCCTGTGTGTGGCTTAGTGGGTGAATCAAAGATGCGCTCTTCAGTATCGTGCTGGTGGACTGCTGCGACTGCGATTGGCGAGGCATGGTGGTTGCGACAACATTATATAGACATGCGCAGTGCTAGTAGACATGCGCGATGCCGTAGAAAACATGCGCAGAGCAGTCGCGATGCGGCTGATGGGTATGCGAGGGAGAAAGGGAGATGCTCACTGGAAAGCGCTCGGCAGGGCCCTTCTGAATGTCGAGGCCAGTAAGATCCCAGTTGAGCTCCGTTCCCGCAATCGTCACGGTTCCTCGCGCGGGATTGAAGGCACCTCCGCGCGAACCTCCGCGGCCACCACCCCGTCCTCCTCTTGCTGGCGGCATATCAAGTTTCTTATATGTTATGAGTCGCTGCGTCTATAGTCGTTACTTTGCGCGGGACGATCGACCAGGCGTCTTGGAGCGAGAGTTTGGGAGAGTTGTGGAGTCAGAAATTATTTCGGTGCAGTTGCGACCGGCTTGCTAGGCTGAGCTCGAGGGTGGGGTCCCAATAGCGAACTTGCACCCGCAGCCCCGCCACCTCTACCCTAAACCCCGGTATTGAGGTGTACGACAATAGGAACGTTCGAAGGAATACCAAGTCATCTACAGTCCTGAACCGGATGCATATCGAGTCATAACGACCCAGCTTGAGATACAGCCGCAGTCTAAGCAGTCAGCACTCGCCATCACCGCGCATCAGGCTACAGGGAACGCGTGCCCCATACGCGCAATCACATGAGCGGCCTAGAACCTTCTCTTACACTATAACCGCCACGCTCGAGCCAGGACTACCATCGAGAACGTCGACAATCCAACTTCTTTAAGAAACACTACATCCAGATATCCAAAATGGCCGCATCGACTGCTACGCTCAGCGAGCTGTCAGAGCATCTACAGAAGGTCGACCAAGATCCTACCACTCCGCTCGACACAGATCTACTTGAGCGATGCGAGCTCTCCACCAACACTCCAGAATATCGTAGCCATATATGGAAAGAGACGAGGCCGCTCTTTCTGCAGATGGCGGCGTTACTACCAACGCTTCAACAAGACCCCACGCCACTCACCCACTTCATCATCAAGCTGGCGGAACCATATCGATTTGACGATATCAAGGACATTGACTTCGAAATCGGCCTGGATCTAAAAGCTACTCCATTTCACAGTCTCATCCTGACACTGTTAGAGAAGGCCACCACCAGTAGCACCGATGCTCAAGCACTTGCGAACCGGCCAGCAGTCATATTGGCCATCGTTCGTCTGTGGTTATGCACCCAAGATGCTGGAGTCGCTACACAAGCCGAAGAGCTTCTTACTTCGTTACTGGAGGTGTCGAAGAATGAGCCTGTATCGATAGACGGCAAGTCTTCGCTACATACGTATGGTACAGGTCCCATGTGGAGGCGCCTATTCAGCGACAGGGATATCAGTTCGCTGTACTACCGTTACACATCTCTCAAGGACCTCACATCGCCACCTCAACCACTTCTGAACAAACGTGACAAGACCATTTCACAGGCTAGACTACTGTCATGGCTACCGCGCGTCGCCGCTATGGACTGGAATGCCGTCACTTCCTCGTATGGTCTGGAAGCTGAAAAAGAAGTCGGACTGAAGGAAGGTCAAGGCTTGCTGCACTACGCTACACTAAAGATGGTCGACACAGAAGATGATATGCTCATGCATATGACCCTGCTCCAATTCTACAGCACATTGATCACCACGGTCAAAGCGAAGCCCCACCTCTCACACTACGACTCAAGTCTTGCTCTAGATTTCCTTATAGAAGAAGGCGTGCACAAAGGCATCGTCGACTTCCACACCTCAAACAACCCCAGCCTTGACCACTCTTTCTTGAGCAGTCGGACAGCCCAGTATATCAGCGACTACGCATCGCATTACCCAGAGAACTTTGAGAAAAGCAGCGAGATGCCCACTATCCGGAATTATGTACACCGCAACATTCGCAAGTGTGAAGCAAGCGACCTGAACATCATCGCTTCGATGCCTCGATCAACGCTTATACCGCAAAAAGCTTCAGGACCAGCCTGGGATGACTGTGTCATTACCGACATGCCAATCACGCGAACGAATCAAGATGCGCTCAAGACACTCGCAACCATCTTCCACGGTCCACCAAAAGAAGAGATCACGTTCCCACAAACCGAAACTATAGGTTCAGACAGCAAACGCACACAGACCGAAGCAGCATACGCTCGCCTCCTCACCGCCCTCTTCTACATGAAAAAGCCAAACATGTTCGCCGACATAACCACACACATGGAAACCATCGCCATGAAAGAGAATGCACTCGCGGCCCTGACTCTCGTTGGTGCCCTTATCACCTCGACTTGGTCGACCGAGCCACTCCCCAACATCCCCGCAAACGACCCAACCTACGCCCGTCTCAACGCCTTCCCCAAATCTGGTGTTGATCTGATCTTAGACCCCACGATCAGCGGTGGCGTCCTCCCTTCACTGCTGAAGCCTGCGACCACCTTTTCCAATCTCGTTGGTGGACGTGGCGATGCGGAGAACGCGGCGTATATCGTTGCGACGGCGAAGTTTGAGGTGTTGAAGACGCTGGGGCGAAAGTTGGAGCAGGATGGTGGCAGGCAGGATGTGCTGGCTATGGTGAGGAGGAGGGTTGGCGATGGAGTTTGGGGCGATAGTGGGAATGTGGGGAGTCGGATCGGGACGTTGGAGATGTGAGGGTCGAGTGTTTGTAGTTGAGAAGGATATGTTATGTGATGGAAATAAGTCCAAAATAGCACTTTTTTCAACTACTCTAGTGTTCTTAATCTTGTGTGATACTAGACAAGTACTCTCTTCGTAATACGAATGCGATTCAACCCAAAAGGCAACAAAAAAGAAGCGCCTACAGCCTTGCCCTAACAAATCCTTTTTCTATTAACAACCCACCGTCTCTGCAAGATAGCTATGCATACTTAGACGGTATCGTAAGCACTGTAGAGTTACTGATAGGATCGTGAATCTATGTGGGTGGGTACTCATGTGCGGTCACGTGACCCCACCCCTCACCCCCAAAAAATCACCAAAAAAGAATACCTGGGGTATCTGACTATAGCCAGACGAATGCTGAACAGAGTGGGACTCGAACCCACGCCACTTTCGTGACCAGGACGTCTATTATATAGACTTAACGTTAAGAAACCTTAACCTGGCGCCATAACCAGCCTGAGTTTGATGTTAGGAACGAATTTCTGAGATGGTGAATTGAGGGACTGCTTACTCGGCCATCTGTCCGTTGGTATCTGATTGGTTGATGGAGGAAACGAGAATTGCAACAAATATAATGCTGGTCGATGGTTGAAGGTGGTGGAGATGATGCGGTGAGAATTTTCGTGGTGGGGGCTGGGCCGCGGAGGAACTTGGAAGCTAGGGCGGCGGCGACGGCGAGATTGTGGGGACGGAATGCATCATGAAAAGGATACAGTCTTTCTTTGCGTGAATAAGAATTGAAAGGTTGCTTGCGAAATATGATCGTGGTGTTTGGTGCATTTCTTCTTTGGGCTGAAACTCGTTAGCGCGATGAGACGATACAACATCGATTCTCACGTCTTGAGCAGAAGGCAAGCGATTTCTTTGTAACAAAGCTCTATTGAGACTCTTCATATGGGTGCAGTAGAGTGCAAGACATTGAGTTGGTAACTATGAGCCCATACCAAATTGGAGATATTGAGGTCGTCCGTAGCAGGGTGGACGGGTGTCGGAAGATGGGGACAACACATGGGGAATAAGAGATATAGATTTGTACGGAGACTAGCGATTGTTATATGTCCGCAGAAGAGACCCCCGCCTTCGAAAACGTGCTACAAGTCGTGAATGAGGGTAGTTCCAAAGAGAGTAACGGCTCCGAAAAAAACGCGACTAATCATGTATGTTTTTTGCTAAAGTGCTTGAGCATGTTGTCCTTCCTTGGGTATGATTTCTTGCAGTCAGGTGCAAGGCATCGAAAGCAGCTCCGGGTTTCTGGCGACTCGTGACTTTGGCGGTGTCGCTCCAGATCTGCGCGTAGACCGAAGGTGCTCAAGCACCCGGGATGGGTACAGCGGTATCGCTTTTCATGTTTCCGGCGGATGTGAGTGCTAATATTGCGATGGTCAGTGCAGCTTTTATGAGAGTCGGGTTTTCTGTGCTTACTTTAGTTCATGTGTGTGCTGAAAGGTGTCGTCGCAGAAGCTGCAGTTGAGTGGCTGGACCGTGACATCCTTTCTTCTTTTGATGGTAATTTCCTCTTCATTTTCAAGAGTAACAGAGCGCGAAGAGAAATCCTGGGGAGTATGATCAACAATGGTATCGATGTTGTCCGTAGGGTATATTGAGTCACCCAAGTCGCTATCCGTAAAACTGCCGTTCGAGGACGACGACCAGTTCCCTGTAATAAGGGTACTTTCGCTGCTGATGGTTGAGTCTCGGAAAGGTACTTTAGAAACGTCCGATAAGTCCGAAATTGTAGCAGGAGAGGAAACAAGGCTGTAATTTGTGGGGTTGACTTGTGGCTGAATGTTGGAAAAGGCTTCCGAGGCTTGATTCAGCCGTGTCCCAGTCGCTGGCTCTTCCAGGCCTGCTACAGACAATTGATCGGGCGCCGAGTAGATTGATATGGGCTCGGGTACTCTCGTAGAGTCTGTGTCTGTGGTGGGCTCGCTTGGTGGTATGCCCGGACGCACGTATGGAGCATGAATGACGGGGTTGACGTTATACTCGACTTCGTAAGGCGAAACGAAACGCGAACAGCAGCAGATTCCACTGCTGGTAAGGTTACCTCCCCGTTCATCGTAAACATGCCTGTTTACACGACACGGACAAGGGGTGAGATAACGTGAAGTAGTCTGATACTGAGTGGAATAGGGCTCCTGTGAGATTACGAGTGGTGGCGAAGACTAGGAGGCTTCGCCGACCCAAGGGCTATTGAGTTAGACTCGGAGAAAACACAGTATCGGTTGGGGATGATGCGACAAGCACCTGTCGACAAGGACGAGGACTAGGCGATGATTAGCCAGAGGCTGTGCGGTCGTGAAGGGTTATAGCGTCAGTAACGGAGCTCAAAAGTAGAGTGATGGAAAGTTTCGCTCCAAAGCTTTGTCGCAATGATCAAAGATCGAAGAATTAGCAGTAGTTTATACCTATCGAACTGCCTGGAGGCGTACTATGCCTTGGGCTGAGAATGCTACTAGGTAAGCGGGAAGTTGTAGGGTAGCGGTCAGCCGCTCCGCACCTGCAGCACCTGATAGGTATGCGTTGGCGGAACATCCTGGTCGATTCTTATGGCCATGCTAATTTCAACCTTGTTGTATGCCTCCATTCTCGCGGCGTTG